AATGGTATCCAGAAGTTGCCCTGGCCGAGTCAATTTCCTGATATGAACCCCATCGAAAACCTCTGGGCCATACTCGACCGGCAAGTCAAGAAACAACCAAAAAAACCAACTTCGAAGAGCGAGCTACTCCAAGTTTTGAAGCAAGAGTGGGCGAAAATCCCACAATTTAAAATTAACGAGATGATTCTCACGATGCCCCAAAGGATCAACGAACTCCACGAAGCGAAAGGAAGATCTACTAAATATTAATTAAATTATAAATATATCAATTCATGTGAATATGACTGAATTTTTTTTTTCTGAAAAGGTGGTGTCTATTTACTTGTGACCACGCTGTGTATGTTTTCCAGATTGTTAGGTCCGGCATGGCCAGGTGGTTAGGACGCTTGGCTCGAGATCTGAGGATCGCGGGTTCGAATACCCGTCCCACCAAAGATGCTCGCCCTTTCAGCCGTGGGGGCGATATAAAGTGACGGTTAATCCCACTATTCATTGGTAAAAGATTAGCCCAAGGGTTGGCGGTAGATGGTGATGACAAGCTGCCTTCCATCTAGTCTTTCACTGCTAAATTAGGGACGGCTAGCGCAGATAACCTTAGTGTAGCTTTGCGCGAAATTCGAAACAAACAAACTAAATTATTAACATTCAGAAACTGACGGTCAGAGTCAATCAATACATTATGATAGCTCTTTTTAAAAGCTTTATCTTATAGACACTAAGGTTAGTCACTTACAGATGTATTTTTTAAATTAAACTGGCTGAAGAACTGAATAAAGTAAATAAAGAGATGATTGCTTACCGCTCTTTCGGATTTTTAAGGTTATATTTCGTCAAGTATACAAGAACGTTCCTTCTACATGTATCTTACAGGGCTGGGTGTGGCCTAATAGTTAATATGTCGGCTGCGTATTGGAAAGTCCAAAGTTTGTGTCGCGGAGGGCTTTGCACTTTTATCCGCGTGCATGTTATAAAAGTGTCATTCCCGTTATTGGATTCAATGATCTCTTAAGGCAGCGAGTATTACTGACTGATTGTTCTCCTTCTGATTAGTAGTTCAAAATTAGCGACGGCTATATCTGAATCCTAAGGGTCTCTGACCTGGCCGTTTTGCGCAAAAAGATGGCTTTCAGGCAGAAAATACCAATACCAATCCACTTTGTATTTTATGTTATAGTAAGCAAGTTACCAAACTTTTAAACCTACTGGAGTTATTCTCTGCAAGTAAACTGTTCCTTGATCAATTCAATAATATGCAGTTTTTACAAAGCTTCTTAGTAGCCTAATGAACTTCCTTATATTTATAGTACACTTATACACACCAGTCAACATTTATAAACATAAATATAAACAATTTCAAGTATTTGGATCAAAACGAACAACTTTTTTTTTCAAATATTGGCACTATAATCAACTAATTACTTACGAATCCTAACGACAAATTTCAGGTATATGGATCAAAATGAACAACTTTTTTTGATGTTGACACTATAACCAACTAATTATTCACGAATCCTCCTTCCAGCAGCGAAAAGTTTAAAGTATTTGGATAAAAATGAACAACTTTTTTTGATGTTGACACTATAACCAACTAATTATTCACGAATCCTCCTTCCAGCAGCGAAAAGTTTAAAGTATTTGGATAAAAATGAACAACTTTTTTTTCTTCTATAACCAACCAATTACTCACGAATCCTCCTTCCAGCAGCGACAGGTGTTGGTTTTCTAGTTGGTGAGGAGTAGTATGAAGGTTTATAAGTTGGTTCCATGTCTTTCAGCGGCTTCTGAGGAAATTCCATCATACCTACATTTTCCGTTTGCCTACCCTTTCGTGGCTGACTGTCTGAAGAAAAAAAAGTATTGGAAATTGTAACGAATTTCTTTACTTCGGTCATATTGGCTCAACATTAATTAAAAAAAACTAAATAAAATAAATTGTAATAATGTACTTTGCATTAAAAAAGGACAAATCCAAATATCATCTAATCAGAGTGAAATGGTGAGTTTTATGCCACAAAGGGTATTTAAAATACTACCGTATTGGTCCGACTTTAAAGCGATTTTTTTTTATAATTAGGCTGTAAAATTCATAGTTGCCTTATAATCACGGCCGACCACAGACAACTACCCCATATTCTAGCCTGTCGCATTCCTGAATGTACAGATAGCATACATACACGCCAGATGTTCGCTCAAGGTCATTGCTAATTCTTGCAACTAATCCACTTGCAGACTGTTCAGTTATAGTATTGATTTTACGGATCTAATAAAGGACGTTATGACACTCAATTATGTTTTATTTCCTATGGTTTCTGAATATGGGGTCGCCTTATATTCGAGATCGCCCTATAATAGGACCAATACGGTATTTAACGATGGTTCTAATTATCTTAATTGTATATTTCATTTTCTTTTGGTTTATTTGTGTGGATACGGAAAATGTTTTTGTTGTTTTGAAGTTGTAACACCGAATATTTTTGTTACTGTGTCTTTATTCTCATAGATACTGGAGGATGTTGTTTTTATTATTTTAAGGTTTTTGCAATTACTATTGTTTTTGTTGCCATGGGTTTGTTCTCGTACACACGGAAGATGTTTTTATTGTTTTAAGGATTTTGTCGCTTTGTATTTATTCTCATAGATACGGAAGAATTTTTATTTTTTTGAAGTTGTTGTGACAACCAGTGTTTTTCTTTCTATGGGTTTATTCTAGTAGATTCGAAGGATGTTTTTGATGGTAGGGTTATTCTACTAGATATGGAGGACGTTTATTGTTTTCTTTTCCACGCACTCATAATTTTTCCAAAATTTCATTAAATTCAAATTTACAAATAAAAGCAGTTACATCAACAATGGTTGACTTCAAAGTATTTTATTTTCACATTCCTCTTAACAGGGCCCATATTAGTGTAATAAGATGAAGTGTTGTTTTAAGTTACCTAATGAACAGTTTAGAAATGGTAATTTCTGTCTTTCTAATAAAAAATAAATTAAATATGTTAAAATTCTAGTTGGCACGTGATATTTACGTATGGATTCTACAATGCACGATGTTGACTGTTAATAAAAAGTGCTTTGAAACCAATCACATCACACGATGTAAATCGTATTGGAAGAGCAAACAAGGTTTACTTTAGTTTGTATTGTCTACTTTGTAATACACGCTTCAAAACCAAATTTGGGCGATTGTGTATCTTAGAAAAATCATTAATTTAGGCTCTGACTTTGAAGTCTTCTTTAAGAAACCTGAAATACTACTTCTCCATACCTCTGATGAGAGATCATTACAAAAAGCACAACAAAAACGAATTAAGCATTCTCTGATTACCGTTATTTATCATGTAGCCGCATTTTAGTTTTTATTAATTTTGTGCCCACCAGTGGCACAGCGGCATGTCTGTTGACTTACAACGCTAGAAATCAGGTTTCGATACCCGTGGTGGACAGAGCACAGATAGCTTATTGCGTAGCTTTGTGCTTAACTTGAAATAAACAAACAAAAAAATTAATTTTGAACTCATTTTTATGGAACGCATGCGTAATCTTTACAGATGCTACATTCAAAAGAATTAATTGATATTCACTAACTTTATACAGTTGTTATTAAAACATATTCATAATTAAATATCAAATTTATTAAATTAAAATCCTAGTTTGAATAAAAATAATGACACAATACCGAAGTTGATATTTTCTTTAATTCGAGCAAGTTTTGTTTCTACTACGTTTATAATACTTAACCATAACATTTAAGTATTAAAACATAACTTCCAAGCTTTATCCTAAGACGTTATAATATATTTTGTTTAAAAAAAACAATTACTTATTGAAATGAATTTACATTTATTTTCCTATTAAAGGAAATTTTCAATGTCATTTTATTTCACTACAATAATGGTTCTACTAGATTAAGGCCAAACAAAAAATAAATAAATATGGATTCAGTTGGACCAAGATGTCAGGAAGCTCTGTGATTGATTACCTCCACAACTGTCTCTGCTACTGCTGTCCGATTGCCTTCTCAAGCACACTAAAACAGTAATGGTAACTACAAGAAGCACGATAATGGAGAACACTACGGGCAATATCACTGTGAAGTTTCGGTAGAAGGGTAACATGGCGTCTCTGCTTGCCGGAGTCCTCCCTGGTGGTGGCGTTACTGCTGACGCTTAGTGTAATTATACGAGACAAAAAAAATAGTAATAATTGTTTTTGTGTGCAAGCAAAAACGTACCAATAATTGGAAAACTATACCTGAATTAAAAAATTAATTAATTACAGGTAACTGTAAAAAACGAATAGCATTTTGAAAAGACAAAATGGCCTAATTTTCTCTTGATATTTTAATTCAAAATGTTATCTATAATTGTGAGACAAATATCAATATATGAAAAAGTTTATAATAGAGGGACAACAAAAACTGGTTCGTTTTTACTCGAATCATATATATGAATATAAATCTTGCTTATTACTTGATAATTCACGTTATTTAACTAACATAAACAATGTCAATTTAAAGTTTTTTATGTTAAAATATTAATTTCCATATGACAAAAAAGTATTGAATTTGACAATAATGACAAACATTCTCATAATCAATATACAAATCCAAGGCCAAATAAAAAGCATTCATAGCTTATGTTCTTGCAATACAACTTTTCCTTCCAATATCTGACAAAACATCTTAACGAATCATCACCTACCAAAGGTGTAATTTAATGTTTGAAATGTGTATTCTGCTTCCGTTGTCCCTGCTTCATTGTATGCATTAACTAAGAGACTGTATTCCCTTCCAGGGACTAGATGGCCTATTTCCAAGTGTTTCTGCAGCGCCATCACACGAGATGCCACGGTGTTCCACACATGTTGAAATGTAGGCCGATAACGAACAGAAAAATACTGAATAGGACAGCCGCCATCTTGCCATGATCCCAAGTTTAAGGTTACAAAAGTTGCATTTATCATCAAGAACATCCTTTTATGAGGAGAAACTGGAGCTGGGAGTAATCAATATCAGATAATTTGATAAGAAAATTTATTCAGATAACATGAAAGGATAAAATAAATGTTCAATAAATTTTGACATCAAATGCAGATATTTAATTGTGTTATCGATTTTTTTTGATAAATAAAAAAAACAATCATATCTTGTCTTAAAAACCATTGATATAATGGTTGGTTGTTTATAAACGATGTCAACGTTTCTATTTACATAACCTGTTGATTAAATAATTAAAAATCACTTCTGGTTAGAGAAAGCTACCTACACATATCAGAACTAAAACATTCAATACAGTAATAAGTATAGCTCATTGAATATAGTGTTCTCACGGTCTTACTTATAAAGATTGGAATGTATCGTATCACAATACAATCATCATACACTTAGGGATAAAGTCACGTGGCTTAAGATCAAGCTTTTGTATTTGTTTCTTGAGACCATTTGCTGAAAACGCTACGAAAAAAAAAACCTGGCTGATTAAACAGTTTATTGGAAGTTTATTGTTACCTTGGGAAACGTCACTGGCGAGGCTTTATACGAGTATAACTATAAAACAGAAAAGACAAAATTCAACTTTTTTTTGTGCGAGCGAAAATAGTCGATTATTTTCTGGAGGCAAGACATTGAACATTCAACCAGAACCAAAGCAATTCCATACTAAGACATATTGGTATAACTAACAAGCCGAATATTATACTACCAATATTACCCCAATGGCTCAATCGTAAGTCTGCAGGCTTATGACGTTAGAAATCGGGCTTCGATACCTGTGGTTGGCAGAGCACATATATATAACCTATTGTGTAACTTTGCGCTTAACAAAAACCCAAACAAAACACCATTAACCTGCTGAGAATAAAAGGCATAACCGTTTGTTATAATAATGTTTCTTATTTAGTGAAATAACAGTTAGAAGCATTATGGTACTTGCATTAAAACCGACAATTAAAAATAATATAAAAAACAATACCAAAACGCATATACACAGCGCGGGATAATAATTACATAACATGTTACTGAATATAATTACATGATAAGCTAAGTGGATTCTATCCGCTCCCGATTTTTTTTTTCTCCGTTAACAAATACAGGGCGTACTAATTATATTTATATCTAGTTTATCAGATCTTATTTTATAGGTAATTACAGTGTGTAAAGACAATATTGGTTAGTCTAACTTTTGTAAAAAGTTATATTTTAATCATAAAATGTTCAAGTGGCCATTGTACTAGTCTTTTCCTTACCGTGGTTGGTCGTTTTTCTTTCGAATCATCATTAATACTCTAAATATATATTATTTAAATTTCCATTTATAAATATAATATTTTCTTATATTTTCGTCGAGTTTAATACATTTCTTGCACTTTAAATGTTCAGAGAGACGTTATAATTAACTTCTTTGGAACGCTGATATTTAATGTGCAATAATAACAAGCGCTAACACTTTATTCCGTAATGTGCTGCCCTCTATTGATTTACCAATTAGTTACCTCCTCCTTTAGTTCGACCTGTAACAGTCGCACTTGGTTCGCCAGTTCCTAGACTATTCGAGGCGGTCATGTAAAGTCTGTAGCGCGTGCCGCATTGAACACCTTTTAAGGTATATTTGTGAGTGGTTGTAGACAATTTTTCTGTCATCCAATCTTTTCCTTCTGCTTTATAATAAAGAATATAATCTAGAAAAAAAAAGAAAGGAAATGAATAAGAAGGAAATAAACATGGAAATGCATATTACAAACTTCATCCAAGAAACATAAACCAAAATGAAGACTATTAAGTTAATAATCCTTTAATCTAAATACTTTAAAGTCATTATTATGCAAGATACATCCTCGTTTATTTATCAATAAAAAAAGTTTTAAAGATTAAAGTAATAATAAGCGAAATTAGTGAACTAGAAAACCAAGTCTATTTATTTTGGTTTCCATACCTTTAAATACCATATCTTCATTATTTTCCCATTCAACAGTGATTGAAGACGACGTTGATGAAACAACTGTTAATCCTGGAGAGGTTGGAGGGGCTATGAATTAATAAAAAGAAAAAGCTGATGTAGTGAATGGCAGAAAACCTTTAGGAAGTCGGACCTTTAAGTGGAACGAACAATATAAATCAATCATTAAATCTATGTGTCTGTCTAATGGTTTTTAATTAGCTATACCTGTTTCCAGGTTGATTTTTTTTCTTTTAAGTACATCTAGCTTGCTTTGATTGGAAGATAATGTTGGTATCTATAATACATCTTAAATTATAACACTTTCAGCCAGTTGCACACGTAAGGCCTAGGTACGTTGGATTGACATGATGATCCGACAATTTTGTAGCTTCAACTTAATCCGTGCCTTAGGTAAATTCACGTGAGAAATAGTTGACTTGATGACATGCGCACTGAGTTCGTCGCAAAGGGGTTTCAAAGCGGACTTAGAGCAGTTGGGGGCATCAAAAAAACGACGAATTATTCCAAACTGGGGTGATTTTACTTGAACTAGTGAAACCTAAAAAAAACGTAATAGAAAATGAAAACCGGACTGACACAAAAATGCTCAGAAATGGGGAAAAAGTGAAGAATTTAATCTCTATTTATGAAGTTAAATTCGAGGGCACTCGATAGCTAAAGTCTCTATGGAAATACTTGAAAGCTCGAGGCTGCAGCAAAAGAAAAAAACAGTGGTATGTCTGCGGACTTACAACGCTAGAAACCAGGTTTCGATACCCGTGGTGGGTAGAGCACAGATAGCCCATTGTGTAGAGTTGTGCTTAACCTCAAACAAACAAATAAAATAAAAAATAAAAGAGGAGGTGCCCCCTTCCGAAAGATTCGGAGAACTTTTTTAAGTTTAATATGTCAAATATTTTCCCAGCAAACGAACAGTTTGGAAGATTCGTATGACGACACAAGCCTACACAGAGATGATACAAGCTTACATGAAGATGAATGAGAAACCATTGATTCAAAAGATGTATTAACGAGTCACGCGCATTATGATCTTATCATAGAAAGTATTATAACGACAGCTAATGTCACTGAATGAAAATTATCTCGCATGTGCTTAAGATCGTTCATATAAAATGTAACATCACAGCATAATGTGTGCTATTTACTTGGTTAAATGGTGTTTATAATGACGTTTGAACCTCCGATATAATTCACTGTGGCCACTGTATTTTGGGGAGGAAAGAAATGGGTTTTGACTATTGATTAATCTGTTTGAAAGAAATTATCAATAAAACTTGAGCGTTTTTATTTTTATTTATTAATTTTTTGGTTCAACGATCTTCCAATAATTCAAACACTTTATGAATTTCATCAGTCTCAACAGCGACTTTGTTACCACCATCTACATCAATCTCAGCAGTGACTTTGTTACTGTCACCATCAACTACATCAATCTCAACAGTGACTTTGTTACCATCCTCATCAACTACATCAATCTCAACAGCGACTTTGTTACCGTCATCTACATCAATCTCAACAGTGACTTTGTTACCATCCTCATCAACTACATCAATCTCAACAGCGACTTTGTTACCGTCATCTACATCAATCTCAACAGTGACTTTGTTACCATCCTCATCAACTACATCAATCTCAACAGCGACTTTGTTACCGTCATCTACATCAATCTCAACAGCGACTTTGTTACCACCATCTACATAAATCTCAACACGACTTTGTTACCACCATCTACATAAATCTCAACACGACTTTGTTACCGTCATCATCAACTACATCAATATCAACAGCGACTTTGTTATCACCATTTACATCAATCTCAACAGCGATTTTGTTACCACCATCTGCATAAATCTCAGCAGTGACTTTGTTACCACCATCTACATCAATCTCAACAGCGATTTTGTTACCACCATCTGCATAAATCTCAACACGACTTTGTTACCGTCATCATCAACTACATCAATATCAACAGCGACTTTGTTACCACCATCTACATCAATCTCAACAGCGATTTTGTTACCACCATCTGCATAAATCTCAACAGCGACTTTGTTACGATCATCATCAACTACATCAATATCAACAGCAACTTTACTGCAATAATCTCCAAGTTCGTCCACCTTACGACGACTTTGTTACAATTGTTATGAAGTTAGTCATCGATTTTGTCTATTATACCAATTATGTCGGGGTACCTGCACTGTTGCGTGAAAGTCAGGTAAACGGAGATGACATGTTTTACTCACGCAGGGATAAAATAACATTCGTCGCTCTATTTTCTGTGTTTTAGTCGACACCAAACTAATCCTCCTCATCTCGCAAAAAAAAACAACAACAAAGAACCTCTCCCTAGCGGAGAAACACAAAGAAACTGATATTGGAAACAGAGGACAGTTTTGGTTGTAACAATATCATTACAGCATCTTCGTTTCCTTTTCAGAAAATCCACATCCTTATAAAATATAAAAGGATCGAACCTTTTACTGATGATCTGCCCTCGTCTGATGAACCTCTCAACAGCATCAATTGTGTTTATCTAAATAGTCCTCCAAATTTAACTCCGGATTCTTGTTTTAATCCTCCCTATTGCCTCATTGAGATTTAAGTCAATATCCGAGAGTTGCAATGATTGTGGCCTAAGCTAAACGTGCGCAAGTGGACGTTAAACATTTGATAAGTAAACACCAGCAATACTCTAACAAAACTTCGTGACACTTGAGACCGCTGTTGTATCAAATCTTATGACCAGGTGTATGTTTAACAGAAGATTAAAGAAATTGTACATCCATTTCGTTAAGTGTAAGTACCGGACGGTATTAGGTGAAAAGTTCTCCACTTATGTAAATAGCTTTATCAATAGAACCACAATTTATAAGCCTCCCCTGCTGAAAAAGGTGTTGGGAAACTGTTGTCTTCGTGTACTAGATGGATTATGGAAACGAGCTCTCGGAGAGGTGATATGCTTTGGACATGAAAGCTTTACGATAGATCCTATTTCAATGAAACCTATGCTGCAGGCAAGATAAAGCACGACTGGACGTGGCGACGTGGACTATGGCGACATGGTGAGACTCCAAAATCGTTTTAATTTAAGGTACTCAATTTCTTGACGCCAATTTTGTGTTATCAAGATTTCGGTAAGTTCAAAGGTTACACAAGTACTTTTGAGCCGATTTTATAATTTATAGGGGCCGTTTTATAAACGTTTTCTTCATTAAAACATAAAAGACACAAGGGGTTTTCTTGAGTCTTACTTCAAACTTCTCTGAGGATACTGGGTACTCAGGGCGAGCTCAATTTCATTAAATAATGTGACTTAAAAAAATAAAACACACCGCAATGAATATCGTAACTGTCTCCTACAGGCATACGTTTTTCTAAGAAACGAGCAAAATAATCATTAGTTTGGTTGATTTTAATTTGTTAATCCGAGAAGCAAAATACAGAACGAATACTTCATTCGTACGTCTTCTTTTTTTTTTTTTTTACTGTGGTACAGCTAATTTTATTGTTAAAAGTAAAAAACTGTTAGTTGTTTGACACGTCTCGAAATATTATTTGAAGGTAGTGAACATTAGGTTTTCCACGGGTAATATTGTATTACTCTTCTCTACGTGTACTGCAGGAGTATCTAAGGAACGTTATAATTTTGTTTGTAGTTAAGCAATAAAGCTACACAATGGGCTATCTGTGCTGTGCCCACAACGGGTTTCAAAATCCGGTTTTTAGCGTTGTAAGTCCGCAGACATATAATTTACTCTTTCTTTGTTTCTAGTATTTAGAGATACCCTAAAACTCTCGCAACTTCAGTAAATCTCGGTTTTCGTTAAAAATTATAATTATTTTAGATAATATGAGCACTTACACGATTCTAGAGTTGTGGAATGGATTTCGTCAGACCTAGGTCCAGGTCCTACGCTATTGTAGGCCTGTACCAAGACAACATAAGACGTTAAACGCTCCAGATTTGTTAGGTAGTTGGTTACCTCTCCGTCTCCTAGATTGTCGACATTTTTATACTGGAATGATTCAATACTGTCTTTCTTCTTGTAACCTAGGTAATATCCCAGGAGTCTGCCGTGAAGGAGGTCCTTCCGCGGAGGCTGAAAAAGTGATATAAAATAGGCCAATAATTATATAAAATAAATATATATTGTTGAGTTTAGTAGAATATTTGTGTATTTCTTTTTTTTTCACATAAGTGTGCTTGATTTAAAAATAATATATATCCAAGATAATATAGATACAGTTAACAACACAGATAAACATCACTATTAAGATAACATAGATCCGGTTAAAAACACAGATAAACATCACCATTAAAATAATATAGATCCGGTTAAAAACACAGATAAACATCACTATTAAGATAATATAGATCGGTTAACAACACAGATAAACATCACTATAAGATAATATAGATACGGTTAACAACACAGATAAACATCACTATTAAGATAATATAGATACGGTTAACAACACAGATAAACATCACTATTAAGATAATATAGTTCCGGTTAACAACACAGATAAACATCACTATTAAGATAATATAGATCTGGTTAAAAACACAGATAAACATCACTATAATATAATATAGATACGGTTAACAACACAGATAAACATCTTACCTCTGATCAGTAGTTTAAAATTAAAGGTGGTTATGGCTAAATCCTAGGTACCTCTGACCTGGCGGATTATTCCAACTGCACATAAGATGCTGTTCATGTTGAAAATTCTAATTCCATTCCAAATTTTATATTTTAACTAATTTATTTAGTTTCATACGAAAGCTTTATGGAATATGTACAAAGCATAGGATAATATAAATAAGGAATTTGGAAGAATTTCCTGAAATGTGACTCATTGTTTTTGTAGTATTTAACTGTGAGACCAGAGCTAGAAACTTAAGGATTAAATTCAGCTAGACATTTCATATTTTTGGATGATCAACTTTACAATTCACGTCCTAAGCTCTCGGGACACTGTGATGTGAAATGCTGTGCTCAATCTCTGTTTTTGAAAAGGGACAAACTAATGGCCCGGGCGTGGCCTAGTGATTAGCTCGTTCTGTCTACGAATCCAATGATTTTTTTTTTTGGCTTTGTGTCCTATTGCCATCAAAACGTGATCCGATCCCAGGGGTCAAGTGGGCGTTATATGAGTGAAGGTCAAATCTTATCATTCGGCCAAACAATATAATACAGCCCAAGTGTTGGCGAAGGATGCTGTTAAATAATTGTCTTTTATCTATTCTGTTAGTTAACAATTAGGGAAGACTATGCGCAAATAGCCCTTGTAGAGCTTTGCACGGAAACTATAAAAACAAACACACACAAAAAGAACAGATAAACAGATAATTTTTAAAAGAAGTAATTTCCCCTGCGAAAACAAATATTACATTTCACGTGATTTGAATTAATTTAACGTACGTTATGAAGTTAATTTTGTACTCCGGAAAAAAATCAAGTGATTTTAAATATAGACCCCACGATTGGTTGATTATTATAGATCAACGCCACAACAGGCAATCTGCTGTGTCCATCGCGGGGAATCGATCCCAGGATTTTGGCATTGTAAGTCTGTAAGCTTAACTCTGTCCAGCCGAAGAACAGACCAAATGAAAACAATAGTAAAGTTTTCCTAATTAACATAGGGTAATAATCAAATTTACAAGCCTAATATCTGAGAATGTATTAGTAAAGTTTTCCTAATTAACGTAGGGTAACAATCAAATTTACAAGCCTAATATCTGAGAATGTATTCACCCTCAATATTTTCGTCCAACTGGCATTTTGGAATTCCTATCTTCGCCACTAGGGAAAAAATGTACATTTTTATAAATTTCACGAATCGATTGGCTTACTATAGAGCTGATATCAGAATCACTGTGAGATCTGAGAATTTATTTTTCTGACATCGAGTAACTTTCAAATTTCTTGCGGGCATTAAGAATTTTAATTTTTCATTATTTGTCAATTTTACGGATACACTCAGCAGCCGGACATCTTATCTGACGCACAGAAAAGTGTTGACCCTCAATAAGCTAACACTATGTTTTTCCGCAAATTTATTTATTTATACTCGTCACAAAGATAATATTAAGGTTTATTTATAATTCAGAAAGGATTATCACAAACTATATTTTATAAAAACAACAACAAAAACGAAAACAAAAAACTGTATTACCTTCCAAGTGACCTTTAGCGATCTGGCTCCCGTGGCTTCCACAGCGACGTCTAGTGGTGGGCCTCCGGGAACTATTAACATAAAGATTAAATTCTCGAGTGCTGAAAAAACATTGAAAATATTGTTTTGTACATTTCCACTTCTTTGAAGTGATAAATTATCTTGAATTACGTGACGATTTGGAAGGTAAACTAGAATATTTGTGTGCTGTTTCCCGAAATTGCAATGTACTCTTTTTATATGTGATTCCCTCGAAATATATTTCAGAATAAACTGTACTGAATGAAATATTTTAGCAGTTGCCACCTAACGAATTTTGGGCCCGGCATGGCCATGTGGTTAGGGCACTCGACTCGCAATCTGAGGGTCGCGGGTTCGAATCCCCGTCACACCAAACATGCTCGCCTTTTCAGCCGTGGGGGCGTAGTAATGTGACGGTCAATCCCAACTATTCGTTGGTAAAGAGTAGCCCAGAGTTGGCGGTGGGTGGTG